CCTGCTCTTACAAAGCTTACAGATTATGGAGGTGACCGCACTTGAATAACAAGGGCATGTATTAACCTGGGGGTAAGGTGGGAGGCTTTGAGGAGGAACTGATATGCCAGCTGAGACCTGATGGAGTCATAAAGTTTAGTCAGACTAACCTGTCTGTGTGGCAGCATGTGAGGATGAGGATACGGGGAGGACCATGTGAGCAGGCTGGGCAGAGGATGGAGAAAAATGAAAAGTCCTTATGCGAAGAGAGGAAGAATCAGAAAAAGACATTCCTTACGGCCAGGGTATAAGTGAGTGATGTGGAGGAGGTGAGGCTAGGAGAATGGGCAGGTTCAGGCATAAAGATCACTCTGAGGTGTGAAAGATATACTCAATGTATTCATAGGTCTTTGAAGGGTTTTAAGCAGGGCGTTGACATGCCCTTTAGAAAGCCAGCCCTAAATTGATGCACCAAGTGGACAGGAGCCCTCGGGAGGAGGCTCGTGCAGGCGGCTCAGGCTGAGTGCCTGACGGGCACGTGGCCCAGGTCTTGGTCACAGCGGTAACTGCTGTCTCTGCCTCTCCCAGGGCTTCTAGGACAGCGGCTGAGGAGACTTTCCCGAGGGGCAGCACGCAGTAGCTGCTGAGCCATCGCACCCGGGAGAAGCAGCAGTAACATGGCAGCCCCTGCTTGAGAGGAATTAAACACCAACAGACTCCATTCAGAGAGGAACAATGTCCAAGAAAGGGCGAAATAAGGGCGAGAAGCCCGAGGCGCTCATTGTTGCCCTTCAAGCTGCCAACGAAGACCTCAGGACCAAGCTCACAGACATCCAGATAGAGCTGCATCAAGAGAAGTCCAAGGTGAGTGGGGCTCCCCGAGGCTGCAGCCTGGCCTGCCTCAGTGGGCCTCTGTCTGCTGGTTGCCAGAGAGGGCAACAACCCCTGGACAGAGGGAGATTCCCTGTGTGTGGCAGGAGGGAGTTGAGCACAGGATACACAGAACATGAGAAAAACCTGCCCGTGGGGCTGAGCTCTGCCTCCCCAGGGGGCCGGATGTAAAAATGGAGACCACACCCGCCCCCATCAACACCTCTGGACACTTCATAGGCATACGGCCTTGGGTAGGTTCCACCCTTGCCCTCTGTAGTCATTTCCCCTGTGGCATTTCTCAGATGTGTCCCTGGTGTCACTCCACTGCTCAGAACCCTGCAAAGACTTCCTGCCTCTCAGTCACAGGACTCTCCCCACCACTGCAGGACTCTCCCTCCAGCTGTCTCCCAGACCCATCTCCCACTGCTGTCCCCCAGATCACTCTGCTTCAGCCTCTTTGCTGGACCAGGAGACATATGCCCATCACATCTGGGCCTTTGCCCTTGTTCTTCCCCAGTCAGCGGCATGCTCCTTCCTCACCAACGTCAGGTGTCAGCCCTAGTACGAGCATCTGACCACAGTGTCCAAAACAGAGCACTTCCTGGGCCCACATACTCCCTCAGGCCTGCCTCTTCTTGATTCATCTCAGAGCAATTTCTATGTTTATGTATTCACTTGTTTAGTGCTTCTGTCTCCCCAGTCAAGTGTAATCTCTATGACAACAGAGTCTCATCTTACCTCTCTATTACTAGAGCCTAAATAAATGTCCAGAACTGAAAAGCTCAACATATATTTGTTAAATGAGTTAGATGAATGACATGACCAAGAGGTGATTTCTTCGCTATACCTTAGATTCTTCATCAGTCATATACTGTTATTCTGTAGAGCTGGGATGAGGTTTAAGTTAGACAAGTACAAAAAGGAGTCATGAGGAGTACATGAGAAAATTCATGTCAGATGCTCAGAGAGCTGCCTGGCACATAGCAAACTCTGAAAAGAAAATGCATGGTAATATCTCTTCTAAAAGGCTGTATGCTTGAGTCAGCTGCTAACTAGACTTAAGAAAGTCTCTTTAATTCTCTGAATCTCATCCCTTAAATGAATATGCTAACACTTATCTTACTAGAGTGGTATGGATATCAAACAGGGTCAGGGACAGGAAAGCATTTTGAAATATGTGACAGGCATAAGACATTTTTGCAAACTAGAGACAGCCATGTCAGCATAAAGTTGCCTTAAAGAGATAGCGCTTTGTGTAGTAAGGAAACGTTCTTGATCAAGCTATATAGATCACAAACCAACAGATATCCTTATTCTTTTTAATCTACCTCTTCTTCCTTGATGTTGCTATTACATTTTAATTAGTTATTTTCACCCAAATCTATTTCTCCTGGTTTGAGCAATAATAAAACTTGGATTGGCCAAAGCTCCTGGCCTCCTGCCTCAGCTAAGCCTTGACCTTGGATAACCAGACCCCAATGTAAAGTTTGTGAAGGATACTATAGTTTCCACAAAGCTAAAAGGAATGTGATGTCCCAAAACGAAAACAAACAAAACCCAAAAACTTTTGTGTAAGAGTCAGAAAACCAGAATATTGTCTTTATCTCTCCTTGGGGACAAATTTCAGTGTTTCAGTATCTCGATCTGTAATTCAGTGACTGAATCTGTTTCTCCATATCTGTGTCCCTCAAGCATCACTGGGCATTAGAATAACCTGAGGGAACTTATTAAAAATTGAGATCCCTGGGCCCACAACCCAAGGATTCTGATAAAGTAGGTGGGTTAATGTTCAGGACCGCAATTCTAGAAAACAGTCCAGACAGTCCCCGTGGAGGTGGCTCTCTGCCTTCATGTTGACAAACACTCCACTCCACGATTCCTTCCAGGTTGACAACCTATAAACATTTCATTGCTTTTAACTTTCCCTGGGGCAACATAACATTTCAAGGAAGGCAGACTCCTTTTTTTTTTTTTTTTTTTTTTTGCGGTCCTCAGGCCTCTCACTGTTGTGGCCTCTCCCGTTGCGGAGCACAGGCTCTGGACGCGCAGGCTCAGCGGCCATGGCTCATGGGCCCAGCCGCTCCGCGGCATGCGGGATCTTCGGGGACCGGGGCACGAACCCGTGTCCCCTGTATCAGCAGGCAGACTCTCAACCACTGCGCCACCGGGGAAGCCCGGCAGACTCCTTTAATTGTAGTAACAACAGAATGACAAACTACCTTCACGGGAAGAAACCTATCCGTCTAAAGACCGGCAACCGTAACCTGCCGCTGATTTACAGAGAGCAAACTCAAGAGATTTTAAAGAGGCAGAGGACCGATAGACCCCACCCTGCCATTTTCCACACATTCAAGTCTTTTTTTCTTTTCTTTTGGTTTTTCATTCAAGCCTTTTAAAAGGAGTAACTCTTGACCGTGGGCAGAGCTGTTTATCCTGCCTGTTTATCCAGGGCCTGGCCCTGGTGTCTAAGCCAGCAGATCAGGGGTAATCTCCCTTTCCTCTGACAAGAGACGAGAAGCCAGACCCTGGAATAAAAGCACTGCCCTATTGTCCCCTCTGCTGCTCCCTCCCCAGTCTCCCTCTCCACGGCAGTTAATTACAATCCCAGCACAGGGGCCACAGCAAAGCCTCACTGCCTGTCAGCAGCATTCCCCAAAGAGCAAAGGGAATTTAGAGGGCAAACAAGTCATAAAGCAGTTTTATTAAAATAAATACGATTGTGTTTCCAAAGGCCCAAGCTTTAAGAGAGAGAATATGAACAATGCCAACATGTGAATTCACACTGTCAGTTTGGCTCCAAGGCTATGATGATAAAATGACAATTTAGCCACTGGGGAATGGACTAGTTAAAGAGCAGAAACCTTTGGCGCAATGGGGCATTACTCATTTTTCCAGAAAGACAAATCATCCCATTGACATTTGCAGAACACATTGTAGTAGAGCAGAGTCACAAATGCTAGACTTTTTTGAATGTTTACTATCTGTCACACACCGTAAGAACTGTATTTCCTCCTGACATAATCCCAGCTCTTTCCC